TCTTTGTAAGAGCATACACAGAATGCTAGCTGAATCAGAGATAGGTCACAAGATCACAAACACTAGTGGCGTGCTAATCCGCATGAAGCTAGGGCGGATGTCATGGTCATGTGAGTGTGACTGAATCTGGTGAGGAAGGATGTAGTTCGGAAGAATGTATAACTGTCAAATAATAACGCGGCCGCTTCTGAACTTGCTTATGAGTGTAAAGAGGGCCATAGCAGCCACTAATTAATTTAGTATATGATATTATGATAAATAAGAAGCCGGCGTACGCCTGTAATCATATGCTGGCAAGCAACCTTTGAATCACATCTTAATCATAGCAGGCACACAATGACATCAATGAAGAATGCTCAACAGATGAGAAGAATAGTGAGAAGAACTTAAACTTCTCACTGATAAGCAATTTATCAAGAAGGCATCAGAGAACTAGACACTTTGACACTGAAATGTATGAGAAGAAGATTCATCTGACAGAGTAATATCTGCAGCTAGAGATTAAATGAATATATTTTCTGTTCTTTATAAAGAAAAATCTTGATCAGACAGTTATAAAAATAACTAAAATTAATGATAAAATATTGTATACATTCTTATTCAGCAGAATAACAATGCTGAACACAGTTAAGACCTGGAAATCAAGGTCATTAAAGAAAATGAAGACAAGTATTTAGATTTAGTAAAATAGTAACTTTTCAGTGAGATATAACAAATTCTTGATAAAAGATTATAAATCTCTGATGAGAATTTAGCAGAGAATCTTAGAAAAATCTAAACTTTTATGATCAAGTTAACTAACTTAATTTCAATATAGAATCATGTTCAACAGAAAAAGATAAAGAGCAGGACAAGTTCAGAGATAATCAGCTTGTATAATTGTTATAAAGAAACAATCATCTTTAATTACTTTTATAAGTTATTCACTGCTGAAAAGTTCTTTCTGATTTTTTATTAAGTGTAGAGAGTTATTGACTTTGACTGATTCTCTGAGTGAGAATAATGATATATGAAATATAAATTAGCATAATTCAAATTGTTCTGAAAACTAGAAACTGATTTCAAAAATAGAGATATATGTCAATCTGACAACTCAGGTCAAAATATTTAATAATACTGATATGAATGAAAATTTCACTGCAGTTATAATGCAATGATAAAATATTCTGACATTTTGAGATCTGATAAGTGATGTTTCTGAATATCAGAAAATTGTCAGAGATGACTTTACAGAGACAATTCAGAATACTCTGACAGTTAAAAAGAGATGTACAGTGAAAGATGTGTGAAAGAAGATATGAAAAAAGATTAAATTTTCAGAGATACTTTCAGCAAAAGACAGATGATGTAGAGATTTCTGATACAATCTATTTCTATTTTAATATATTTAGTTTTCTATGTATTTTATATATAAATTAGTTAATATATACTTTATCATATATCATTAGAATACACCTGTCTTGATATTCACTGATAAAAGTTATCATATCATCTATCTTGCATTTGATTATAGTTATAGTCACAGCAGAATCATCAATTTCACTGTACTAGAAAATCTTCTTATTCATCTTGAATTCTGTAGATATATTTCTGACAGTGCATTGAACACTTGTTTCTAGTTAATAGAAATGATTTTATATTCAAAATAGCTGTAATTCAATTAATGATAGCCTGTGTAAAAAGTATTAAGATATGAATAGAATTCATCAGATATGCTGATTACACTCAGAGATGAAATATGAAAGTATTTACATTCATTACATGATAATCTGCAAAGATGAATTAACAATATATATAAAGACTTATATTTTTCTTTTTCTTCTTTTCTTCTTTCTTCTTCTTGCAATAATAATACACTGCAAAGATTATTCTCAGCTCACTCAGCTCACTCTGTTCTTCTTCATTTCTCAGTCTGATTAGTATTCTGTCAGTTGTAATAGAAAGCTTTTAATCAGAAAAGTTCTAATCAAGATATCTTATCTGTATAGTATATCAAAAATATCAGTAATTCATTATATCAGTATTAATCACAGTAACAATAATAACAGTAGCAGTATTAAAATAATAAGTAATACTCTCAAGCATACTCATACTGCTACTGCAAAGACTCAAGAGAAAAAAGCAAGCAGCTGTCTGAATACTCTGACAAAGCAGCTCAGTAAATGAACAATGTATAAGTACTGTATTAAGTATATTTTTTTCTGTCATTTAAATGTCACTTGCAATAAGATGAAGAGAAGCTCAAAGTCTTATACAAATTGTAATTATAAGAAAAAGAGATGCACAATTATCTCTGAAGAATTAAAAGAATAAGTTAATAATCTGATTTAAATTCATGACTTTTATCTTTCTGTGTTGAATGATTTTAAGAAAACAATAAAGAAAGCTATGTTGAAATCAGTGAAGAATCTTTTAAAACAGATTAAGAAAGTTAAAACTTACTGATAAAAAGTGAAAGCTTAATATATGAAGAGTATCACTATTGCTCTGAAAGTCTTAAATATCATCATCAGTGCTGCTGAAAAAGCTAAAATCAAGATTAAGAAAATCAAGTTGAATATTGAAAGAGTGAAATTAGAAATTGAAAAGAAAAAAGTTATCATAGAAAAGAAGAAAATCATGATTAAAAAGATAAAACTTAATATTGAAACTATCAAGCTTGAAGTATATCATGAGCTTTTGAGAATTATAGTCAGTTATATTGAAGGATAAAAATCAGTGATGAAGAATCTTATAAATTTGATAAATAATGTTAATACTGAAGCTAGCTATATTATCATTGAGATGTATAAAATAATGAAGTATGTTCAGAGACTTGCAGATTATCTTGATAAGAATTCAGTTATAGTCAGTGACAGTAGCAGTAGTAATAAGAAATTTGATAACAGTGATAATTCTCTTTTCACTTCTCTTACTGACATCTCTGCTACTATTATTGATTCTTCTCTCTCTTTCTTCTCTGATCTTCCAACTTCAGTTGATTCTCTGACTATAAGCAGCACTGAAACTCTTAACATTCTCAGTGAAAAAGTAAGTTAGAATCAGTGAAATGATTCTCAGATTTATACAGAAGTTGATAATAATATATATAGATGAATAAACACACAGCTTCTGATTTCTCTAAAATCCTCTCTTTCAAACAGTGAATAATCATTGATACTGGTTCTTCATAAACTTCAATATCAATTTGCAAGTTCTCTGAAATAAATGTTGATGTTGAATATGACAGGAAATGATGACAATGATATAGAGATGATTCAGAGAATTCAGGAGAAATTACAGAGAGATGTGACAGATTTTCAATAGAGAACAATTTCAGTGAATGAAACATTTTTTAGAATTAGTGATTATGTAGATAGGAATCAGTGATATTATTAATATAATGATGATTTTGTTCTGTTCATAACTCATTTACAGTGATTCCACAGCTAATCCACCATTATATTATATTTTACGGTTCGGCGACGGTGTCGGCGACTGACACGGCGGAACAACCATAACCCGGTCGTATAATAAGCCTACGTTTTTCCGGTATGGAGGGAGTAGGAGTAGTTATAGAGTGAAGCTTGAATGATTGAGATATCAAAAGAAGAGGGTAACAGTGCACTGACTTATTGAACACTAAATACATACATAATTAAGTAGAGAAGTATTGGGAAAAAAAATAAAAAAATGAATAGCCTGCTGTTCCAAGTACTCATATTCAACACTCATAAATCCCCAAAAATATTTTCCCTATCCAAAAAATATCAAAAAATATCAAAAATGTCAACTATGTCCGTAACTTAGCTCTAATTCAACGAGAATTATCAACAAAATCATCTACTTCCCTCTCTCTTTCTTTTTACCCTCTCTCACGTCCCCCTCATCCTCCGTAAACCTCAAACTGATGCTGTTGACACAATGCCTCTCATCCGTTGGCGTCGGATATCCCTCTCCCTTGAAAACATGTCCCAAGTGACCTCCACAGTTGGAGCACATAATTTCTGTCCGATCCATGCCAAAAGACTTATCTTCCGTACGCACCACGGCGCCCGGGATCGAGTCAAAGTACGCTGGCCAGCCGCAGCCGGACGCGAACTTGTGGGAGGCCTTGTAGAGCGGAGCGTTGCAGCCAGCGCATCTGTAGACGCCTGACGAAGGGGAATGTTTGTTGTATTTACCGCTGCCGGGGGGCTCTGTGCCTTTGTTGCGGAGGATGCGGAACTGTTCTGGGCGGTGCGGAAGAAAAAAGGTTAGCGCGGTTGGTTCACATAAATATATATCAGGTGGGAGCGTGGAATAGCAGAGTTCGAAGGGATGGGGAAGAGAGTATTTTTGAGTATCTCATGGCGCTATGTGTACTTACCCTGGGTCAAAACCGCCTGCCATTCTTTATCCGTTCTTTTATCGGGGAACTCCATTTTCTTCTTGTTCTGGGTGGATGAACTGAAAGCAGAGAAGAAGGAAATCGTTGGCATCCAGCCGATTAGGACGGTTTTGTGACCAGCTAGTGATGGAGGACCTCCACGCGCAAAGCAGGGAAGACAGAGTCGGAGTTGAGTTGAGTTAGAAGCGAGCTGTCGGGATATATGAGAAATGTGGAGAGGACGTCTTTGGAGATGGAAACGGAGATGTTGAGGCGAGAAGCGCATGAGCGGGAAGTGATACGTACTAATCACGAAAGGGTCGTTTACAGCGTATAGGGTGCTGCTAGAAATATAGGGAATGATGCCAGCGCTAAGTGGAGCATAGAGTTGGCGGCAGACGCATAAGCATAAGGATGAAAGTATAATAAATAACTAAGCGTTCCGTGGTGTAGAGTGTGCTGGGTCTGTAGTCTCATTCCACTCCATAATGATGATTCCAAAAATGTTCCTGCAACTATGACCTCATATATCTAAAATTTGACCCCATCTCATCTGCGGGGCAACTCGGTTGAGGGATCTCTTGTGAAAACAAATGATCAATCCAATATGCATTTCTCTAAATATAAATACTCAATGAGTAGTAATCGAGTAGCCAGATACATGTATATATGGAAAATTTTGAATTTTAAATATTAGCTTGTTATAATCTGTCATTGAGGGGTCATTAAATAGCACAAGTCTTGGTAATATTTACACACATACACCAAACAAACCTGAACTACAAAGTTCCTGGAGCAATAAAAGGCGTCTCTTCTATGAGTCTACCCTGTAATCAATGGCAACAAAGAAATAGTAAGTCCCCCAGTAGGAGCAAATATCCCGTCAAAGCCCAACGAGGAACCCACGCTCACCGGCGCCTAGCCATCCCCATGACCGTCAAGTAGCCCTCACCAACCTCAACCTTCCACCCTTCATTAGCCAAAGCCCGCGCAACCGCCGGACCCACCCTCGCAGTTCCATTCCGGGAATGGCGACCGAGGCCCGTGATGATGCGATAGCCCTCCTGCACGGGGCCCCAGCCACCAGGGGCATATTTGGTATCTCCAAGTGAATCCCACCATGCTTCCACCTTTCTCTTCACGATGCTAACAGCATGTTGGACACTTACGCCGTGCAAGTCCAATAATCTGCTATTGGACTGAGACTCCACAAGTGCGTCCGCGGCAGCTGCGGCTTCCTTTTTGGCCTTTTCCATATGGTCCCGACCTACTGCGGAGTAGTACCCGGCCGCACCGCCCATCAGATGATCCGATTTGGCACGGCGGTAGGCTGAATTGGCCTTGTTGAAAGCGCTGTGGCCTGCGATGATGTGAGAGTCTGCTATCGATCTGCTTGTGAGGTGGTCGCGGCGAGGCTGCGGTGTCCATGAAGGGGTTTTCTGAGAGTGCGCTGGGGAGTCATCCAGGTTTATAGGGGCTTGTTTTATTTGGACAATTCCTCTGGCTAGTGGGGGTGGTTTGACGGTTATCATCACGGTTGCAAGCTCGCTTGCTGCTGAGGTTGAGTTCCTGGCTAGTCGAAGCAATCCGGCAAGTTTCTCGGGGGAAACTTTATGGAACTCTTGCTGGAGTTCTGTTATTTGGGTGATTGTGACTGAATTATTCATCATAGCCTTCGCGTGTTGTTCTGCCTCTGTGGATGCAAGAGAGTGCAGTGTGTTTGGGAGGGATGCTCCATTCAGATGGTACGCAGAAGTCACAGAATTAGGCGATAAGTAAGTTCTGGAGCAGATAAAGTCGACATCTCTTTTACTGTTTTCCCATTTGTTGTCCACCTTGTTGATTTTGTGATGCGTCAGGGCTGATGATGCCCTCATCTGACGTTGCGAAGCCTGCTTTCCCGATGACTGCTTATTCCTTGTTCTTTTTCGACCTCTTGATTGGATGTTGCTTTCGAATCCATCGATTCCCTTCGGTATTGACACTCTACCCTCCTGGTCATCCGCGCTTTGGTCTTCAAAAAATGCTAGGTTGAGCAACACATCCATCGAGCGATCAATATCCTCACCGCATTTTCTTAGAGTATGAAGAATCGTGTACTGATCAATTGACGGAAACATATCCATCAAATAAGTCATCTTGCCCTCGGCAGTCAAGCCTGCAATTCGAGAAACACGGTTAGAGGGTTGTTCGGTATCGGTATGATGTCCACTCCACAGTCCACCATAGTGCGAGGGATTCTGGTTTTCCCCCAAGCTAGCTGCCGAGAAGTCCGACTCGAGGCTCGTGAGGTTCGACGTTAAAGAGTCCAGGGTTGGATGCGATCCATCTTGCTCTGACGCAAGCTCGTCCTGATCCCCTGCGATGTGACCCTGGCCGCTTGTGCCAGAGGGGTCAAATGCAGTATTTTCTTGCTCATCAGCGGAAGCCTTCAGGGCGTCTAGCGTGTCGCGCAGTTGCCGAACGGTATCTTCGTCGAGCAGGTTATAATCGCTTGCGATAGCCACGAAAAGGGCCGGGTCGAGCGGTGGGCAGTATTCATATTCCAAGCCCTACCGCATCAGGACGTACCATATAGCTGTTAGCAAGATTACCGCTCAGAGCTCAGGTATGTTATGAGTTTTAAATTACCACGAACTTTCATGAGGCTTTCAACAGGTTCATCCATCAGGGAAATCGGAGCACTTAGGTCTGGGTGCTGGTCTATGAAGCAGTGGCATTGCTCTGCGAGAAGTGGAAATAGCAGTAGATTGACGCGGGGCTTGCATGTACCGTAGAAGCAACGACAAGAACAGCGCACAATGAATTGAAATATGGTCCTGGGAACACGAACAAATGGAATTATGCGGACTAGTCAGAATGTGTAAAAAATGCAGGCTGAAATGCCGGCTACCATCAATGACGAATACTAGGTCATCGCGAGATAGTGATCAATCGAACCAAAGGTAGCCGCTCGCGAAAATAGAAAGCAGTTAGAAATCAGGCCCAAATGATAGGCATCCATATGGCTGTTTATTGCTGGCCGTGCTGCGGAACTGATGAACATTATGCCAATTAAATCCAAACCGCAGCCATCGTCATGGAGATAGAAGTCACTTTTCGACGTCGTGAATCACGACCACCGGCTGACTAATCCAACCCCTCTTGGCCTTATTCCCAACCAACAGTCAACGAACATTCATCTTAGAACATCCAACCAGTGTCATTGGCGCAGTCAGACAAGGAGTCGACTGCCCAAGGAAGCAAATATCTTCTGCAACCTGAAGAAGGCTGAAGTTGATGCTTTGATCAGCATACACTGCCAAGAATAACAGCAATCAACCCATGATAGACTTGGGTGCCCAGCTGCCGTAAGCCAATTTCCCCCCTCTGAAAAGAAGAAGCAAGGAGAACAATTTGACCAGCTGACCGTTCGTTGAGCTCTCTCTTCGAATGAGCGGTACGAAAAATACGAGCATCAAAGGAGCATGTGGGTGCGCATTTAATTTCCCGTCCGCCTACCAGGCGTGTTGTTGGAACATTCTTCTTGCGCGCGCATCTTCATCGATTGTTTTTTCGTATATTCAATGACATTGCCTGGATCCCGACGATTCCGGCGGCGGATTAAGAGGAAAAAGAAGCCACACGCTCTCTCTCTCCGGGGTCTTAATCTTAATTCCTTCAGGCAAATGTTGATTTGATACTTTCTTCATAATTTTCACTGCTGTAGATCTTCATTATTCTCATGAAATCTACTGGGCAACTGCTCCAATATTTTCTTTTATTATATCTTGGTCCGATATTAGTTGTCAAATGCATATTGCATATCTCCACTCTTCTTTTTGGCTATTTTTCTCTAGAATTCAGCAACAAATGGTCGGGCGCAAGTTACAGGTCGCCCTACATATTTGAATCTTCAGAGAAAGAAATTTCACCTCCTTTTCTTCTTTTATACCTTGGTGTTGTTTTGGTTTTAGCTCCTCAGGTTAAATCCGAGATCTGAAATCTGAAGAAGAAACACAGTGTCTAGTTCATACTATGTTGTTGTCTCTTCTCCTTTCATAATTGTACAGGTCTTTTTTTGTTTCTCATAATCAAAAACAAATCTCTATATATACACGCACACACACACACACATCTTCACTCTTGAGATCTTCTCCTCTAGTAGTTTATGCACACTGAATCTCTCTGCATCTTGTCATCACACTCATATTCCTTGAGACATCTGGCAATATCCTATATTCTCTTCCCAACTCTCTGCTGAACCTGAAAGTGTCCAATCAACAATGTGCCAGCTCACTATGGTTAACATGAAGCATCAGTGTGGGCATTCTGTTGACAGCTTTGGATATCTCCTGCAATGCCCCGTGTCTATCTCGAACATGACCACCTCTTGCCAGTCTCCATCGACGAACTGGAGCTTCGGAATCCGGATCTTGCGTAGCCCTTGCCCTGACTGCCTCGACAAGGGTGGCTGGCAGCAAAGTGCGCTGGGAATTTGGCGACAGGTAACGCACAGTAAGTTATCTGTCCTAAAAAAAGGAACGGATTTGCATTGACACAGAGAGCCTTGCTTCATCTATAGCAGGCACAGCGGTTTCCGCAGGTTGACTACAATTACGGGGTGGAAATATCATCAGTTTTATGAATACACCAATAGGCATGTATGAATATCAATTCTCAGATCTGTGTGGACAAAGCTAATCTATTCATCTTCAGGTGTGAACTTGCTAGTTTTATGTGAAATTCAATCTCAATGAATGCAAATGACAAATGTTCAGTGTTAATATTCATGTTGTTTGAAGAAGTATAAATTTATTGACTTATGGAATCGGTGTTTTATTTTCTATTTTATTTTCTCATCTTGCTTGATCTTCATCTTTCTTCATTCCTTTAATATCAATTTTCATAGTTTCTCATCAGAGCAATTATCTCAGAAGCAAGTGCCTTCTCTCTCTTATTAATAAATTCATCAGCTCCATCACAAACCATCACACACAATGGTACTAAATGAATATAAACTCCCCTTCAGGCTCACCAGAGCTGACATCATTAGCTTAGGGTCAGTGAGCATTGTCTTTGCTATTGGGGGTTGCATTGCACTAAAGGCACACATTGCCCACCAAACATTCCGCTCACCGATGAGCAAATCTAACAATCTGCAGAATCCCTCACCTCCCTCGAGCGTGAGAAGCGCATCTACGATATCCTCAACCACCACCCCCACCCCAACACCCTGCAAACAATCCTGCACTGCCCTGGCGGAATTTTCATGCCCCGGATGTCCTGCAACCTCGACCATAGGATGAAAAACGACTCAAATTCCATCTCAGCACCCTTGCGCCTTCGCTGGGTAAAAGAGCTTGCCAGCGCAGCGGAACACTTAGAAAGCCACGGGTTGGTGCATGGTGACATTCTCCCCGCCAACACCCTCCTAGATAATAACTTGCATATCAAACCCGCCGACTTCGGCAGCCGCGTCAGCACAGGCGAAGCCTGTCTAGCCTTCATCGTGCCGTGCCATGATGCCTTTGCGGAGAAAGCCAGCTACACCGCGGAACAATTCACCATCGGCTCATTCATGTACACCGTGTTCATGGGCGTTGAACCAGAGTTTGAGATTACTGGCAGGAAGCTGCGGGATGAGAAGTTCCTGGAGACAAGCGGGATACTTGGCGAGGATATCATTGCGAGCTGCTGGCGGAAGGAGTATGTGTCCATCGCGACTTTGGCTGGGGAGATTGAAGAGTTGGAGTTGGAGTTGGCGTTGGATGATGAGAGGGATAGCGATGGGTGCGAGATGTGGTTTGTGGCTAGCTCGAATAGTTCGCGTTCTGTGTAGAGGGTGAGTGGACAGGCTGATGCGGAGGTACTTGAGGAGGGTAGAATTGAGAAGCTGCAGGTTATTTGCTGAGGCTTGTGCAGTTGTTTAAACACAGTAATTGATGTGATTGATTGTACTATGCTGTTCGTGTATCCTTCTTTCATATTGACTACTTTGTACGCGTTATTAAGGCTGTTTTTTGCTGGGAGGGTTTGGCGAGTAACGATAAATATGTTGGGCATAGTCCTTCAAGCAAACTTTCCCACGTAACTAACTGCTTTTGATCTTCTCTCTTCATCCATTGGATGCTTCATTGTGGGAGACTACTACGTCTACTCCATACTGCACCCATATACGGAGAAGCTACCATTTTCCGCTATGATTGCCTCGGTGAGCAGATGGAGGGCGACCACCCAGGGGGGATCGTTAAAGTTAGGACAATTGAAATACTATCCATTAACAACCAACGCGTAGAAACGGAACGGGCACCGGGACAGAACTGGGTGGCTAATTGAGGCCACAATCCAGCTTCCTGCGCCCAACAACTCCCACGCAGAGTTAAAAAACCCTCACAGTTAAAATTGGAATTAGTAGGTAGATGTTTCATTTGATGAAAAATAATCCTCGATCACATCTATTATGTGTTTATTCTGCTTGATTGATTGCTTACTTTCATCAATCGCTCCTATCAGGGAGACACATTACAATAGGAATATCAAGTGTAACATTAAAGGATGTTCATCCCTCCATCCATTTCTAAAAAGAGGCCATGTCTGGAAAATGTCGTTGAAAGTAAGTGGAACCAAAAAAGAAATGTAAACTGCGCATGGGTTTCACGCTTCTTAACTTTTATCCTCCAAATTCGTGTGCTCATTAGGCAAAAGGAAATAGGACGGAAAAAAAGGCAGGAAAGCTGAGAGAATAAACCGAAAACAAAATGTCGCAACTCAACATGGAACAGTGAAGCCACCAAATGTAATGTATGCATGATCCCAGTCTCCGTTTTACGCCGAAATTTCGGCTCGAAATTTAGAGGAGACAAAGACAAAAGGGAGAGAAGAAAGAAATAGGCAGATCCCACACTCGCGTAAAACGCCTAGCTGAAGTAGGTAATTTTGGGTACTGGCACAAGAACGTAGCAGAACATGGGAAGATGTGCATCCCGGGATAAGGGTAATAGATGACAACTGTAGGTATTCTAAAAAATTGTACCTCTTGATTCTGAAGTGACGAAAAATAACGAAGTAGAAGAAAGGGAAAAGATCTAAGAAGATTTAATCTCAGCAACAAATTCAAAGATATCACCGCGAAGTGTCGGATTATAATCCGCAATTTCTATCAATTTATTCTTGGAAGAGAAGAAGAGAACATAATTCCACGACTTATTCCCATGTTTTGGGCCAGCAGACTCCTTTGGCAGATTGCGAATAATGTTGCGCAAGATGAGGATGGCCTTGTACGCGATTCCGACGGGGTCACCTTTCTCGTCGACAGGGGTCGGATAGTAGTCGAACATTCGCGTAAGTTTTGGCTGGATGATTTTGCGCGAGGGAGGCGGAGGTGGTGAGCTCATATCCATCAGTGGTGGTAGGTGGGTGGAAACATGGCCGGCGACACGCGCAGTGTTGATCGTGGGGATTTGGAATTCCCCACATGTCTCCCAGGCACAAACGTTGGTCGGACGATGGGCATCTTGCAAGTTACCTAAATCAGCCGGGTTGAGAAGCATATGCTCGCGGAAAACGTGATCTTTGAGCTTCGCGGGGTCAATGAATGCTACTCTGCATTGGCCACTGGGACCGTTCCACTTGCACTGGTGGTATGGATATCCGTTGAAGTCGTAAGACGTCTCGAGAGGGCGGATACCTCTAATAATGAATTTGGCAACTGCGCCGGGGACAACCTGCGCCTGAGCTGTGGAGAATGTGCGGCTAACAGTATTAATAAACTCCGCCGCTGGAAGGGTGCTTACACCAGGTACTCGCTCATCCGCGAAACAGTTCTGATAAGCGTGCCAGAGGGCAAGTTGAGTTATATCACACTCCGGATCTTCAATGAAGCAGCACTTGAGCCAGCGAGAGCAACGTTCAGGTTCAGGGAGCCGCAGTAGCATAGCGTGGAGATCGGGTGGGACAATAGGAATAGTGGTTGTGGCGGGTGCCTTGCATTCTTCTTGATCCACTATCTCGTTGATGTCTCGTTCGCCCTCGAATAAGAGAAGATTCGTCAAGCGAGGGATCAGAGTTGTTGGAAGCGAGAAATTGCTAAGGAGATCTTCGACATTCTCTGGAATGGCTGTGTACTGATAAAAGAAATCGAGCGTCCCAGAAAGAAGTTCTTTGTCCTGTTCGAGTAGTGTGTAACTCATGAGCATACTGACTTTATCATCAGGGACGCCTTGAAGACGCTTGATCGTCTCAAGTTCCATCGAGTAGAGGATCATAATTTTTAAAGCAGTCAGGATATGGTATCTATCAGATGATCCCAAAAG